TAGATATTAAACATTTTGTGGGATGGACAATTATTCAATGCTTTTACAAGAGTTAGACAATGTGCTGTTAGACCCGCAATACAAAATGATTTTTTGATAAGTTTTAGGTTCAAGAATAAATTTCCTGGTACATACGGGAGTAAGGCTCGGGGTGAATGTATGTATCTATATGTATATATATATATATATATATATATATATATATATATACACACATATATATATATATATATATGTGTGTATGTGTGTGTGTGGTTGTGAATGTGTGTCTGTGTGCGAATCCATCAAGGTTGTGGCAAGCACATTGATCGGCTCTCACTTGTGTAAATAGTCATGAAAGTCCGCAGCTGGGCCGGCAAGTCACTAAGGGCCATGCCCGAGAGAGGTACGAGATGGAGAGCAAAGGTGATTATGTGGCCATCATCTATGAAGATGCAGCGGAATACATATATATATATATATATATATATATATATATATATATTGTAGTAAAAAAAAGAAGATCAGTAAGATATGTAATCCGGTGTTCTTATTGATATTTTTATTTTTACAAAACAGAGCTCATTTTAAATTTACAGAGCATAAATACTATAAATTAACTGATTTTTGATTAAACTAATGCTTTTAGTTTAATATAATTGAATTTGAAGTTTTTGATTTCTGTTTTTGAAACATGGTAATTCCTGTGTAGCGATGAAACTATATTTTTAAATTAGTTAATTTATAATATATATATATATGTGTGTGTGTGTGTGTGTGTAGAGAGAAAGAGAGATACACACACACATATATATATATATATATATATATATATTTATGCCTTGATTAAATGTAAGTGAAGGAAGTATGTATGTTTTCCTGTCAAAATCCGGACTGTGTGCCTCTTCGTGATCAGCCGTGACAGAAGGAGGTAGGTATTGTATAAGTTTACTCAAGATTGTATAGGTCGTGCATGTATCGTATTTCGGCTCTTGGTATGTTAACATGACCACAGCATCGGATAATTTATAAAATTAATCCATCGATTTTGATTAGAGTTGAATCTCCATTTCGTCATGTGTATATCTAGAGACTCGCTTCGAGGCTGCCGCTTGACTTCTGATTGATCCACTTCTGATTGACTTCTATCCTGATTCACTCGCTAGATTATGATGGTCGTATCTTGGTCAGAACGCTTTCTGATTAGTTGCTCGGAGAATGACTTCATGTCCTACCAATTTTGAATATACATCTATGTTTAGAGATGTTGAAATTTTGGTATCCTTGTTATTATTCGATTATTCTCATTTATTTATTTTCCTATCACAAGCATATTTCGACACTTATCCGCATCATCATCAGGATATAATTATAGGATGAACAAGTAAGTTTTCTAGTGTTATTTTCCAGAGAAAGATTTTCTGATAAATAATATATCTATGTAATAACAATAAAGCAATCTCTAATTTAACTCTCACTCTCATGACATACACACGTACACGCACAAAAATAGATAGATAGATAGATAGATAGATAGATAGATAGATAGATAGATAGATAGATAGATAGATAGATAGATGAAAAATAGATAGATAGATAGATAGATATGGACATGTGAAAAATAGATAGATAGGTAGATAGATAGATAGATATGGACATGTGAAAAATAGATAGATAGATAGATAGATAGATAGATAGATGTGGACATGTGAAAAGTAGATAGATAGATGTGGACATGTGAAAAGTAGATAGATAGATAGATAGATAGATAGATAGATAGATAGATATCGACATGTGAAAAATAATTGTAAGCAATAAAACCAAAACTAAACCTTACAGCTACCGCAGATTCAACAACGGATCCTGAGGTGGCAACAACTAATTTTTTTCTTTGCACCATCTTGAAAAATAAACCCCAATAATTCAAATAAATAAATAAAATAAAATAAAATCTTACCATGTTCAAAATTTTTATAGGAGAAATTTTTTCGTGCTTACACTCCAGTTGGCCAGTAATTTTAATATATATATATATATATATATATATATATATATATATATATATATATATTGAACAATAAAAATATTAAAAATTAAAATCTTCTGACACACTGGGTTGTATATTTATATTCTTTCGTTTTAATTATTATTTAGATTTCTTGACTAGTTTTCTCCATCATCAGGAGAAAAAATTCCTGCTTGCTCTCATATATATATATATATATATATATATATATATATATATATATATATATATATATATATATGAATGAATGAAAGAACACAAAAGGAAAACAGCCGCAGCGTTTCGTCCTACGATGAACTTTATCATGGAAAATACGAGGATTTTTATACTCTAACAACTATTTCTATACAAGTGGTAAAATGTTATTCGTTTTTTAAAAAAATTAAGTTTAAGAACGCTCATTAATATTCATCATGTCAGCTGAAAAGCCACGCAAATTATGGAGGACACGAAGTGACACAATTCAATGTTTAATAAACGAAAGTGAGGAAGTGTTGTTTTTGAGGGATATAGTATTATGTTTTTAATTAGTTTACTGTCAGTGTTATTGTTGCAAATAATGTTATCTTTTTTGTAGTTGTAACGAATGCACGGCCGCAATTTTGGACGGATTTGTACAAAAATATACATGCACATGCTCCAATTTAGCGGAAAAGCCTAGACTGACTTTGTATTTCGCAACTCCCATCGATAGTGGAAATTATCGATTTTTTTCTTGCTTCTACGGCAGTTTTTATGTAGTTTGCGGTCATTTTCTACTGGCCAGAGTGAGAGACATTAGCTGACTGACACGAATGTTACTAGCATGCTAGCATGCAAAAAAATCAATAGCTGCATTAGTCACAAGTTGGAAAAATTTAAATCTGCATGGCACTTTACTCCAATTGGCTCATTCGCTTGCTTAAACTCAACGTTGATTCTGATTCCGCAGAACTGGGTTGGGTGTGAAAAAGTATTTGTTGTTAACATTCTTTTTTCATTCGTTTTTCCAGTTACGAGTCCTTTTTTAAAACTGATCGTTTTGTGTTCATTTTGTTTAGTTCTTTTTTCGTAACAGATTTAAGGTTTAGTATAGAGCTTAGAAAAAATTCGCAGTGGGAGGTAGGCAAGAAGTAAGGCATGTAGCAACATCAGCACGGCAAAGGGCACTCCTTTAAAGGCAAGGAAGGGTAAAAATATTTTAAGTCAAGTGATAGCGATTGCTATATGAATCGTACGAGTTTTGAATCAAGCACGGGCAACGCCGGGCTATGCTGCTAGTATCATAATATTCCTTTACCTCGAGAGATGTCTCCTTCTCCACCCCGACCATCAGTTGACTAGCAGCACGCGTGTGTATTAACCTACATATCTCTGGAGGAAAGATGTCCACAGTAATACATGGAGAGATTTTGAACAGAATCGTGTTGAACCTGATGTTAAATTTCCTGTGAATGTTGGTACAGAATTTGATCGATAGATAGATAGATAAATAGATGGTCTTTAAAAATAAATGTTTCATTTTTTTTTTAGTATTTTTCACACAGTACAATTCCAAAGAGCTACTCGATGTAAAGACTTATAAATTGATAACGTTGTTATACGAGCTTAAAGAGAAGAATTAAAAAGTTCTTATGATGAGAATATATAATGATTGACCCGAGATTTGAATAGGTTCAGATCGTAGTGTTCGGAGAATATCCCCACGGGAGTCTCTTTCATAAAATAACAATTCTGGCGAAGAAGATGTCCTAGTGGTACTTCCTCTTTATCAGTGGAATAGGACGGGGATGATGATGTGTCGATCCAATTTACGTGGCATGTTGGGGCCTAGGTGAGGGTCTGGTAGAAACAAAGTAATATAGATTGTCTGAAGATTTGCCACGGAAGAAACGTGAGGAAAGAGTTTGCAGAGTGGAAAATAATTCATCACTCACATGGCCGGGAAGAGCACCTCCAGCCCAGATATAGCAGTGATACTCCATTGTTGGTCTGATCTGAATCTTATGAAGATAGAGCCATGAATGGGGAATTAGACACTTTCTGGATACGGCGCTAAAAAAAAAATCAATATTTGATATATTGTACTCATTGAGAGTACTACATCAATATTTGATATATTGCATTAATTGAGGGAACGGCATCAATATTTGATATATTGTACTCGCTGAAAGTACTACACTAATATTTGATATATTGTACTCATTGAGAGTACTACACCTATGTTTGATATATTGTACGCATATATTTTAATCCTTAAGAGCATTACACCAATACTGATATCTTGTATTTTTTGAGAGTATTATATCAGTATTTATAAATTGTACTCATTCAGAGCATTACATCTATATTGTATATTTTGAACAAATTGATATTACTGTATCAATATTTGATACACTGTACTCGTTGAAAGTGCAAAATATTACATATATAAAAGAAAAATGCCTGAAGAACTTGGTTAGATTTTCTTTTTTTTATATCGTACTCCCTATGTGAGATGATTACTGATTTATTTTACTTAATTTATATCTGAAATATTCATAATGTTACGGAAAGAAAGTATTAGATATACGATTCAGTGTGATTCTAAATTTCCCTGGGGATCTTGAAAGAGATATCAGAGGAAAATTATATTAAGTTATTAGGTGATGTTTAGATGAAAAAATTGAAGGCTTTTACAGCTATATCAGTAGAGTTATTAACATTGATTGATTTGTTTTTTGTTTTTTGTTTTTTTGTTTTTTTGTTTTTTGTGGCTTCTCTACCTTTTTCAGGTTATTTAAAGCCGGAAAATATTTTTTTATATTGGGAGAATTTGGGGGCGATAATAATGAGTTTTACTCATATACCCTACAAATTAACCCATAGCTGGAGGGGAAAAGAGGTGAATTCTTACATTTCCCTGGGTTATTTGTGCGTAAGTGAATATAACGAACCCGATAAGAATTGGAACTAGGCTCTTCGATTTGTAGTTCCGATTCGTTATCCATTACACCCATCGCACATCCCCACTTAGAGCACCTGGTATTCCTAAGCGGTCACTCACCTAGGTACTGATTAAGTCCGACGTTGGTTAACTTCGATGATCGTACGGGAACCGATGTTTCGACGAGATATGGCCGTTATCCGAGTTATAGACAAGGAGAGACTCATCAAAAATTGCATTAATTTTGAAGGGCGACACCAATGCACACTGCGGAAATTGAAAGAAAGCGCATTTGATGAAGGAAGTAAAGATGTGAAAGGATAGTCAATTGCTCAGAAAGATACAAGATGAAAATTTTGAATATTCAAAAGTGAAGAAACCTTCAATAGGCTGGAAAAAAAGATTAACCCCTCTACAAAAAAAAAAGAAATAGACTTCATAATAGCTGCTAAAATCAGCGCCGTTATAGCAGAAGAGAGCTATAGAAGAAAAGTTTATTTTCCCACATAATTTCCCCCATTATGGGCATTATTTTTATGTGCTGTGTCCCTTCAGGACGTACAGGATCATGGGTCTCCACTTCTTAATGTCCTTCGTAGCTTTCAATAAGTTTTGTCTTTTTGTTGTTTCTCACAGACCCTGTTCTGGCATGAACTAGACTAAGCGCGTTAACTATGTTACACGTTGCTTTTCATTGCCCCCCCACCCCCTATCCGCCCTGAGATTCAAATTTTCTAAGCACTTCTTTCACATTACGAGTCCCAGAAATTTCAACTGCCTATTCCTGGTAAGTATAAGTTTCCTATTTGTTTGCATCCTCTCCAAAATTTCATTGTTGCTCACATGTTCGGTCCATGGTATACTTAGCATCTTTCTGTAGAACGATACCTCAGTTGCCGCGAGTCTCTTCTTCTTCTTTGAGGAGACCGTCCAACATTCGCTGCTGTTAAGGAGGACAGATATCACGTAGTAGTTCAGTACCCTTTTCTTTGTTATCAACCAAATACTTCGGTCTCGTAAACTGTATTCCACGGCGGAACGGAATGGAAAATAGGAAACGAAATGACAAACATATTTTATTCTCAAAGAGACTTTTATACCACTAAAACACACACGTATATATATATATATATATATATATATATATATATATATATATATATATATATACCCCAGGCGAAGTAATATATATCATATATGTACACAGCAAGTAGAATGTAAGGAGTGTAAGGAAATTATGTATCATATGGAGATTCTTCTGTGTTTCTGGAGAAACAATATTTAGAACACCACATTCAAACGGGCCGGATTAAGCTAATATGTTCCAGGCGATAACATATTCAACGAAGGGGAAACGGCGAGTCTTGAGATTTCCCAAATTATTTCTTTTTATATCTAGGGAAGATATATTCGCGGATAGACTTATAAGTTGCTGGCTGAAACAGATTTAGCCTCAGTCCGGGCGGTGGGGAGGGGGCGCAAAATGCAACCACTTGGTTTGGCTTCTGTAAACCGACTGATATTGACTGTCACTTTCGTCACTGTATGGAGTGACGTTATTATGTGGTCGTCACGTGACCCACGTGGCTTATCCCAACCAAACGAAGATAATCGCCTTCTATATCCCACAGTTATCGTTCTCCTCCTTAGTGCTATTCACTTCCCCGCCCCCATCCTCGAACGTAAGAGGCCACCGCCTGGATGTTGTACATTTGTTTCTGCGGCATTTTTTTTTTTTTATCCGGTGCAGTTACCAGTCGCACACCGAACTGGATTTGACTTCAAAATTGTCTTTCTCTTAGAACTCCAGAGTTTTACTGCTCAGGTTACAGGGTGGTTTGCTATTTAGCACATATGTGTAAGGGTGGGGAGAAGAAATAGATTCACGCTTTTCCCAAAGTTATTTTTGTACGAAAGTGAACTCAGCGCTCAACGAATTTAATCGAAATTTGAAATCGACACGCCGATGCCTCTTTCAGCGCATTCAGCCATACAACAACAACAATAATAATAATAATAATAATAATAATAATAATAATAATAAATAATAATAATAATAACAATAATAATAATATCGTTGCAAGCAAAGATAATACTGCAGGTGATCGTATATAGATATATTACAGTATCAAATTTGACTTTCGAAATGTAAAAAAAAATATTTTCTCCAAGAAATAAAGTCTGTGAGAACGTTACCAAATTTCAGGAAGAGATCAAGAACAGATTCCAGGCTTTGAGTAATAACGGGAATACAACAGAAAATATGAATAACAAATTGGAAACTCTAATGGAGAAAAAAAAAACAGATATGAAAACCAAAAAACAGGCGGAAATAACAACAGCAAAGGGAAGTAACTGAAATTCAACTCAAGAACCGCTGGAAAAGACAATAGCAATGACAAACTTATCTTTTTCCATATCAGTTAAAACTTAGAAAATCTTTTCATTCAAACATATATTCAAGAAAATAAGTTTTCCAGGTTCGGTAACTTTTATTTCTCTTTCCAGTATAGATAGAGATTTCTTTCCTAACTTTTGAAATAGTGTGGATGGTCAATATCTTAATTATGTCATTATTTTCTCTTCGAGTTACGCCATTTTAGTTGTTTCTTTTGTCAAGAGCCTTCATGTGATGTAGTTTATGTCCTTTGGTACAGATCTCGTGAAATGGTAGCACCAACCCACAGTGTTCAGAGAACGCTTTTTAAAATCTTTTTTTAAGCGTTTTGTACACGTTGATCTGAGAAAGCGTTGGTATACAGCTGGCAGTTTGTTTATTAACAACTTTGGCGATCTGAACATGCTATTTAATACCATGACTCGAGTATTCCGTTCGATGATTTGATTTGGAAGTGCGACGCTGAGATACGAAGACGTATTGGGATGGCCAAAAACGCATTCAAAAAACTATGCAGAGTAATACGATACAGGCGGATTTTCTTTGGTAATAAAGAAAAGAGTACTAAACTGCTACGTGATATATGTCGTCTTTTACGGCACCGAATGTTAAACGGTCTCCTCAAAGATGAAGAAGAGACTCGAGGCAGCGGAGGTATGGTTCTACAGAAGATGCTAAGGATGACATGGATCGGACATGTGAGCAAGGGTGAGGTTTTAGAGAGGATGCAAACAAGGAGGAAGCTTATACTTAACATTAGGAAGAGACAGCTTAAAATTCTGGGACACGTAATGAAAATGGAGGGTTTGGAGAATCTAATACCCACAGAGCGGAGAGAGGCAAATAGGGACAAGGGAAAGCAACGCGTGACATAACTAGCGAACTTAAGCAAGTGGATAACGGAATAGGGTTTGGAAGAAGTAGCAAAAGGACAAAACATATTGAGAGCTACAAGGGATAGAAGGAGTGGAGAGCCATGATCGTCTATTTCCTGAAGGGACACGACACATAAAAGAAGAAGTATTTTGCACTGGTGGGTGAAACCACTTCTGAGGTAGCCTATTTTATATCCAATATCCTTTAGTTCTATACTATTTTTGTTTTTTTACCTGATCTATACACAGAGGTATTTGTTTTTTTTCACATGGTCTGCAAGTATCTGGATCATATATTCTTTAAGGAAGGGTTTTATGAATGTTGGTGATACGAAAAAGAGCGCTTAGCGTGTGTTTATTAATGGAAGGTGTTAATTAATATTCCTTCTAAATATTTTCTTCATAATAAAGTAGATTCATTTTCTCGTTCGTGTAATAAAATTTAATCCAAAGTTATGTCCAATTTTTTTCAGTGTGTCACGAAAGAGTTAAGTGAGTTGTCACAACGGAAGTTGCACACTGATGATACTGTCTCTGTTTCGCTATCTATCTCTCGATCTCTGACTTTCTCTATCTCTATCTATCTATCAATCTATCTATCTCTATCTCTATCCATCTCTCTCTCTCTCTCTCTCTCTATCTATCTATCTATCTATCTATCTATCTATCTATGTCTATCCATCTCTCTCTCAGTCCATGTCTCTCTCTCTGCCCATCTATCTATCTCTGCATTAGATGTTCGAATTGATGCATTTGTCCTTATAGCTGGAGGAGTAGATCTGCATTCTATCGTCGTTTTCAAAGTTTGTGCAAATGGGCTTACTGAAACGCACGGACACATACACACGCACGTGGGCACAGACACGCACGCACGCACACACACACACACACACACACACACACATATATATATATATATATATATATATATATATATATATATACATAAAGAAATATAGTCTTAAGGTGTGCTATATTTATGGAATAAAGTGCTCAATATCAGGGATAGAGCGTGTGTAAATATAAAAGTGAACATAGAAGTCAACACTTAGAGGCGACAGTCTGTTTCATGCTATATGCAATCGTCAGGCCACATACGCTGTTATTTTTCTCGGCTATTTATATATATATACGGGTTAGTGGTGCATTGTGGGTATTCTATTATGGCGGTTATTTTACCGGAAGTCGTTTGTTTATTTATTTGGGTCAAGTTATATTGCTCGTTTTTATTTTTGTTTCTTGTTTTATTTATTTATTTATAATTCATCCAAGTAAATAAATAGACAAAACAATCCCAAATTAAAAACTCTTCCCGCCAAAATAATAGTTAGAATGAACTACAACAACCAACCCCAAAATTGAACAAATAGCTTTAATTAAATTCTCAAACCAAAAGAAAACTGTTAAATAAGTGATATAAACAAATTTTTACTACGTTAATAAATAAATAAATAAATGGCTGTCTATCTCTGGACAGTGCACAGGATTCGGAAAGAGTTGAATGAGCCTAATGGTGATGTCGAATGTACAGCAGTCTGGAAAACTTACTCTGATCGTTCTGAAAAGAAATGAGAACTTCTTCATGAGTGCAGACTGAAAACGAAAGCCTACATCAATTACCTTGAGGAGGTAGCGCTGTTCTAGGTCAAGATTATGACTGCTGGAAGGCCCTATGTCAGGCAACAGGACTCTGCCCCATGCTACGCAAGCAGGAGAACCCAGTCATGGCTGTCAGACAATTTCTACGGCCACATCAGCCCTTACATCTGAGTACCTAACTCCGCAAAGTACAGCCCCCTTTATTATTACGTCTCGGAGCATTTGAGCGAGAGGCCATCGATGTTGTTCATGATGACGGTCGTCTTTGTATAGAATCCAGAGGTTAGCAGTGAATATTTCGAAGACAGTAGCAAAGCGTAGTTCAGGTTAGCAGTGGGTATCCCGGTAAAGTAGCAAAGCGTAGTTCTTCCTTTTGTTCCTCTTCGCCTGACAAGCTGGCACTGGACATTCGGATAGAGTAAACAAAATGGCCGCCTTTATACACGACGGATGGAATATTTTACGTCTTCTGATTGGTTAACCCTTCTCTTGGTGGACTATAAAATGAGTCAAGTCATCTTGACTGGCTCATTAGTACATAATATAACAAAAAATATATGTATATATATGTTTATGCACACACACACACACACACACACACACGCACATATATATATATATATATAAAGAGAGGAGCGGGGAGATAAAGATATATTCTTATGGGAATAAATATATGTGTACTTATATATCTATTTGATTAGATTTCTTAAAATTTATACATCTCTGTGTGTATATACGTGCATATAAGCCTCTAACTGAAGTGCACATTTCTTTTTACGTCTCTTAATATGCATGGGGTTATGTATTCGCTATAATTACCTCTCTCTCTTTTCACTTACGTTCCTGCCACTCTACCTGTGTTGGAAAGGAGTGACTCGGAAATTATGCCTGTATCTGTTTTTGATACATGTAAATCTCGTGAGTGGATATTTTCATTTGTGTCTAAAAAAAATAAAAATAAAAATAAAAATACAATATATGCCTTTGTTATGAATGTTACCCTGTCGTTGCAAAGGTCGTACCGTCTTTGTGAATGCATGTATCTGTAACAATTATAGATTTGTACACGTGTGCGCATGTCTGTTTGTGCGCATGCGTGTGTGTGTGCACTCAAAAATGACTGGATATAGGTTGCGTGATAAGTATCATTTCTTTTTTTGGATGCGTATACGAGCAGAAGAAGGAAAATAAAAAAAAGAACGAGGCAAGAATTTGGAAATTGAAGGAAATGATTCAGGTTTTTGTAGGCTTCATCCGGTCCTGCGTAAAAATCCAAATCATAGGCCTTTAGCTAATGTTCCTGATTTCCTTACGACACAGCGTAAAATAATTAACTAATACAGATTCTTTTTCTAATTTAGTCGGCAGATAATGAATGAAAAAGGAATAAAAATATAAAGACTGAAGTGAAATGTCTGAATCCTTTCTGGGAAAATGGATCTATTTGTGTATCTGTTTTAGTGCATGTGAAGAAAAGTGTCAGAGTTGGAAACAAATGGATGCAGTTGAATATCAAGTAGAAGGCAGTTGTGGATTAAAAGATGAGTTGCTGATAGGAAGAAGAAAAGAAATAATGTACGCTTCCGTTTCTTTTTGTTCTGACTTTTGTAAAATAGTTATTAGATAGATAGTCATAACTTAGGAGATCGATGGATAAATAGAGCGCGCGAGCGAGAGAGAGAAGGCGAAAGAAATATGCATAGACACAGATATGAAAGGTATAAAATAGATAGATAGATAGATAGATAGATAGATACATACATACATACATACATACATACGTAATTTAGAGCATGCTAGTGAGAAAGAGGAGACCAAGAGAAATAAGCGCAGAGACAAACACAGATGTGAAGTGTTTAAGATAGATAGATAGATAGATAGATAGATAGATAGATAGATAGATAATGAGCAAAGTGAAATAGACCAAACGATTATTAATCCAACTAAACTGAAAATACCAATCCCAATATTTTATGGAACGATGACAAGACATCATCTCCAGACGCCAGACGGTAATTACTCATGAAAAAAAAAGAAGAATTATTGCAGAACAATTTTTCTTCATCATTTCTTCTTTCCCCTCAGTTTTCAAAGCAGACGTTTTCTTTCTAGTTGACAGACAGAAATACGTATCAAGTAAAAACTCACGCTTTTGACTTCCCAAAATGAAAACTACAAATTGGAGACATCAAGATTAAACACGTACAAAAAGTGAAATATCTGGGAAGTTTTTAAAACAAAAGTGACGGAAAGTGCGTCACTGAAATCCGAAGGCGTATTGCAATAGCCAAAGATGCCTTCCAAAAGCTAAGCAGAATATTAAGAAACTGGAAAACTTCGTTAGAAACAAATAAAAGAGTACCGAAGTGTTATGTGATATCTGTGATCCTATATGACAGTGAATGCTGGACGATCTCCTCACAGAGGATGAAGTGATTTGAAACAACGGAAATGTGGTTCTACAGAAGGATGCTGAGGATAACATGTTCCGAATATGTGAGCAACGACGACATTCTAAACAAAATGAAAACGGACACTTATACTTAACAACAGGAAGACACAGTTGAAATTTCTAGGGCATATAATGAGGAAAGGAGGACTGGAAAATTTGATACTCACAGGACAATTTGAAAGCACGAAGGACACAGAAAATAACGCATAACTTACTTAGTGAGCATGTATAAATCGATGGAAGAACAGGGTTTGGGAGAAATAACAAAAAGTCAAAATCTATTACGAGTGTGGCACCATTTACGAGGCAGAAAAGGAAAAGAAAGAAAAGAAGGCAGAACGAAAGGCAAGATGAATCGTGGGTGATAAGCAGACACACACACGGCTAAGAGACAATGAATATATTGATAAGTAACAAATGGCGAAAGGGTGTCATTACAATGACAGGGAAATTCTGAGTAAAAAGAAAGGGAAAGAAAGAAAGAATCAGATGTGTTTTTATAACGGCTGTGTTATCTAGGGGGTACGTAAACAAACTGCTGGTCGACTGGCCAAAGAAAAATTCAAGTGAAAATGTTATTTCGATAAGTGACGAAAAACAGGGACTTTGGATAGATATGGAAAAATTAATCGCGACACACACGAAGTAACTACACTGACCGATTTTCTTGCCGCAGAACATCCTTGGCCTGCGATAATAAAATTATGTTATCAGAAATATGTACCGAAAGAAAATGAATGGGGACCCAGAAGTGTTTTTTCTTCTTGCTTCGAGGCGACAGACTGACTGAAACTTTGGAGATGTTTCTTTTTTTTGAGGCCGTGTTAAGAAGACCACCCATTCTGATAATTAGCGATAAAATACCTGACAAAAACCACGTACAGAACAAGAGTTATATTGTCCCGTTTGCGGCTAGGGAAATGATAACGGCGATTAAGAGGAAGAAAGGGAAAAGAAGGGATAATTTTTTTTTAGTTAAACAAGATATTTTTTTTTCGAAACAAAGCCGCGGATTCGTCCACGCCCGACTAAGACTTCATTGGTCGAGTGGTGATCACGTGACGCACGAAGGAGGATGTCGCCGCCTATCCAGAGTGTAGGTATGAGAAGCTGCTACGAAGAAGTGGGGAGGGCAGTTCACGCCCCTCTGAAGTATGGTGAGAGGGTGGGAGCAAGGAAAGATTCCCAAAAATGGAAAAGAGTGGAAAATCCCTAACCAGAAATAAAAGAGGTGGATATATAATTAGAATTATCGAGGAAACCCCGACGCCGACAGACCCACCCCGGTTTTGGTCGGCGTCCATAAAAACGAAGCCACAACGAGCAGAAATCAGTTCGGGCTCCAGCAGTTCCAGAGTTGAGTTTCAGCAGTTCCAGTGAGTTCAGCTGACCAAGATTCACGCAAATTCCGGACTCCTCTTCAACCCAAGAACAATTATTTTGAAGAGCGACTTAGATCCACACCACCGAAATAAGTTTTTTTTCGACTTTCGTCCAAGGACACACCGAAACACCAATTTCTTAGAGAGCAAACAACTTGAAGCGTTAAAACTTGCCTAACGGAAAACGACGTGTCACAATCCACAGAACGGGTCGAGAAATAGATGCAGTCCGATGTATCGAACAACTAGACATAAAGTTTGTTACCTTTTTTCTTTGAAGCTTTGAACTTTATGAATTTTCATTTTATTTTCTTTTATGCATATTTGTGTGGTATAACCCCCGTTGAACTCAGTTTGCATTACAGCCCCAACCACTGTTTGATCTCGTCTGCCTAAGATCAATTCACAACGTGGGTAGGCAGACTGGGGATCAATGCAGTTACCTTGGTAACCAGGCGTTGGAAGCGAGTTGGGAACGGCGAGGCTGATATCGAATCTAACCAGATTCCCACCCGAATCACCAAAAGGTTAGAACGTCACATTTGGGTGCCGCGACCGATACCAAGCCAGTTGGTCGTCACAGGACGAGACAACACGACTGACGCGACAGGCGGACGTCACGTTTGGAGCAGCGACACCCGAAAGGAGCAGCGAGGAGCGAACAGCTGGCGCCGCGGCGAGGACGTCACAATTGGTGCTGTTTGGGGACATCACAACTGGTGCCGTGGTAGATCAGGATAGAACGTCACAGTTGGCGCTGCGACCAGGGGACGACGTCACACGAGCAAATTACAGGAAATTATGGAGAGCCATGATCGCTTACATCCTGAAGGGACACGGTACAAAAAGAAGAAGATACACTGGAGTTCTTAACTCTCCCCGCATATGTTTGATTATTTTCAGGTCACGGCTTCGGACATGCTAAATTTGTAACGCTGAAATGTCTTTATCAGTGGGAACCTTCTATGTTACACATGATGCGTATGACAATGTGGTCCATCATTCTGCAACATTTCACCTTCTGCTATATCTGGTAATAGGTGAGACTTTACCAAAAAGAAGGAGACTCGTCCTTATACAAAAAACAAAGTAAAATAAACGTTTAAGACACGGTTTCTATTGTGAGGGATAAAATTTCCCTACAAGTTTGAACTCTGCACTCGAACGAAAGACATAAAAATGCTCCTACATCAAGAGGAGTAGCAGCAGGAGCAGTAGCAACAGCAGCCTTTGCTGAAAAGAGTTGATTCCAGAATGAAAATTTTACATTTTCATTGGACAAATAAACTAAGAATATTCTGCTATTTGCCGTTTTCTGTCAGAGAATTAGCGATCTTGATTCTCCCCAACTTCATGTCCTTTGTATCTCTTAGTCAAGTTTGTCTTAGATACCCTTCATCATCCCTGATCTCTCTCAGTCAAAAGATAGGTTACGCGATGCTTTCCTTTGTCTCTTTTACCTTCAATATGTCTTGTGAGTGTTAAATTCTCCAAACTCTCTTTCCGATTTAAATACCGTAGAACTTTCATCGGCCTCTTTCTGAGTACAAGCGTCCATTTTCTTATGCTTTTCCTAAAAACTTCGTCGTCAATCGCATGTTCACTCCATTGTATTTTCAGCAGCCTTCTTTAGAACCGTATTTCTGTTTCTCTAGTCTCCTCAGCTGTGAGGAGATTGTCCAGCATTCACTGTCATGTATACGGATTCGTTTTCCACGG